TGTGTTCGTTTACCTCTCTTTTCTGTCCTCTCAAACCAGCCGGTGAAAGCAGATGGCTGTTTGTCCTGAGCCTGGTTCTGCTGGAGGTTTCTTCCTTTTAAAAGGGATTTTTTCCTTTCCACTGTTGCCACTGTGCTTGCTCAGGAGGAGAGAATGCAACAAAGCCACAATTCAACTTGTTTGCTGCCTCCTTAGATAGAGAACTTTACTAATTGACATTTTTATGTATGTGAATGCTCCTGTAAAGTGCCCTGAGACAACTTTGTTGTGATTTGGTGCTATATAAATAAACTGAATTCAATTGAATTGAACTTGTCTGCTGGCTACCTTAGGGTGCGTTCACACCTGATAGTCCGGTAGACTCGGTTCGGTTGAGGACCAATATTCATGACATTTTGTTTACATTTGAGCTGGTGCGTTTGCATTCACACTGCACTGTGCAGTCGAGTCAACCTGTTGAACCAACCTGTTCCCCGCTCGCCTGTGGGGGCACTGCACCTAGAACTACTGAAAGAAACAATACAAAAACCTCTGAAGACACTTCTTCTTCTTCTGGAAGTAAAAACAAAAACGGAGTGGCATCAAGTTTTAGCAGTTTTAGGAGTTATATTTTGTCATTTTTCAAAAATGGACTCAGCATGAGCAGAAGATGAGGCAGAAGACCATGGAGAATGTTGTTTTTCACACAAGGCAGCTGACGGCTCCATATAAGGTAAGAGAAATGCATGTTTGTTTGTCCTGCGCTGTACTCCACTTCTTGCTTGTGGAGCGGGGCCCAGTCTGTTTACGTTCACGCTGTACTGGAACTGCGCTGGAGTTCTCTTCTACCGGACCGAGACCTAGGTTTTAGCCCGGGCCAGAGTTCGCCTTTTGTTCCGTAACAGAGTTCAATGGCACGTTCACACCTCCCCAAACGAACCGGACTTTCTAGGAAAACGAGCTAGAGTTCGATTAAAGCGACTAAACAGGGCTGGTGTGAATGCACCCGTAGAGAACTTTCCTAATTGGCTTTTCCATGTATGTGAATTCATTAATTCAACCTTTATTTAGACAGATAAATCACATTGAGCCTCGAAGACTCATTTACAAGTGAGATCTGTTTAGACAGAAAAAGTAATGAAACTGGACACATGTAGGAATTGGAGGCACAAAAAAATCCTATCAGACACTTTCTTCTTGGCTGAGAAGAAAAACTAATATTAAAATGGCACATAGTGACGTAGACATTCCGCAGAGGTGGGGAGACGACGAGAGCAGTGAGCAATGTCCATGGATGCTCTCGAGGGCACTGTAAGAGTTCTGATAAAGATGGACTAATCAACCAGTTCCCTCCGGTGAGATCTGTAAACATTCTCGAGGGATGTCGGGGAATGGCCAAGGACAACGCTTATGGGAATCCAAGAGTCCTGAAATGATGACACAATGTTTATTCAGCTGGTTTCCTCTTGTTGATCAGTTGGAAATTCCTCGGTTGGAGGGGGGAGGGGGGGCGAGCGTCATTTTCAGTGGTGGGATATAACAAAGTACAAGTACTTTGTTACTGTACTTAAGTACACTTTTCATGTATCTGTACTTTACTTAAGTAGAGTTAAACATGGGTACTTTTTACTTTTACTCCACTACATTTTACATTAAGTATCTGTACTTTCTACTACACTACATTTCTATAAATATGTTGTGTTACAAGTTACATTCACATTGCGACTTTTTAATTTGTTCTTTAGTTTGAAAGTAACTAATGGTGAGAGGGGAGTCGGTCCATTGAATCACTGCAACATGGGCAGGTAACGTTCGATCCACCTTCAAGAAGAGCTATATTCTAGTATATACGTCATTGAGCTGGGTGCACCTGCAGCACAGCTAACACCCCCAAAATGGATTTCACCGAGGAAAGTCAATCATAAGATACAGTACGTGCCAGCCATGGCCTTATTGAAAGTCTATTGAAAGACTATTGAAAGATTATTGAAAGATTATTGAGTACAGCAGCACAGATTCTCTCTTCCAAAAGTGACAGACTGGACTCAAAAAACTTTGAAAACCAACTTCTTCTGAACTTGAACAAGAAATTCTTGCTGCAATATTAAAATGTGTCAGTTCATGGATGTTAGGAGACAAGAGATGTCTCCAAATAACTAGACACTCGGGTCCAAATTTTGAAAATGATGTCAGGAAGTTAAAATATTGTTCATATTGACCCATTACAAGGTTGACTAGACAGTATTTTAACTAGAGTTGATGACAAACTGGAGTTGAAATGATCAGAGCCTATTCCTTTGTTAGTTGTGTCTAATGCTCCTTTTTTCAGGCAGACAACTTTTACTTCAATGTGTTTACTGCAGTTAAAATGACACATTGGTTTTGTTTTGTGTTAAATAAAAACTTTCAAAGGTATAATCATTCCTCTTTCTTATTTTGATTAATGACATTTAACTCTGCATGTCATCCCTGAAATTCTGATGCACAGAATCACAAGTGCAAGTGTGAACTGTGTCACACAATAAAAACATGTATTATGTGCAGCAATGTTCATTAAAATTGTTCAACATTATTAATGTATTACAGAAAATATATATATACGGTAGGCACACTTAATGATATTGCAGACCATTGCATTAGGTAATACATTCAGCAAGTACTTTTACTTTTAATACTTTAAGTATTTTTAAAAGCAAGTACTTATTTACTTTTACTTAAGTAAAAATATTAATGTGGTACTTCTACTTTTACTAGAATACATTTTTGTCTGTTTATTTGCACTTTTACTTAAGTACAGTGTTTGAGTACTTTCTCCACCACTGGTCATATTACATAATCTCCAGGCGAATTCAGATAAGATGGCCTTCAAGGCCCATCAGGGGAGCCAAATTCAGATAAACACACAGTTGTTTTGGGGACAGGCAGAACTTAATGACATCTACCTTGAGTCTGTGCTGGTCCACTCAGTTCCAAAATGTCCAAATTACATGGCCACTCCGATGGAACATGACTGAGTAAAATTTCCGAGATCTGATCCATTCTGCCAAAAGCATTTGAGTCTGGGTACTCGAGGCACGAACCAAGCCATCATAAGGCAAGCAGCATGATTGGGTCCAAATTTGCTGCAGACGACATCCTTGATTGTAGATAAACCAGCAACCAGCCGAATCCAAAAAGCAGGAACCAGTTATCATAAATCCAATTATAAATGTGTCATTAAAATCCACAAATGGCAGCATACGTCACTGAGCTGGGCGCATCATCAAGTTATCCAAGTCGATGAGATATCCAGCTGCGTACATGCCAACAGGGAAAAATCAACTCGTCTAAAGCCTGTCTTCTCTTCAAAAAATGTTACCAATTGTGTTGAGGGACCAACTGATCCAATCAAGTCCATAATAATGGTTCGGAAGATATGTAGAGAGGCTCAGAAGAAGTTTCACAGACAGAGCAGCAAAGCAAAGCAGAGAGGGAGAGGAGTGGAAAAGCGTCTGACCTCGGCGAGAGCAAAAGTGCTCATGTAAAGTGCCCTGAGACAACTTTGTTGTGCTTTGGCACTATATAAATAAACTGAATTGAATTGAATTGAACGTCATGCTTCCTACTGCTGACCAACTTTATTGAGATGCAGATTTCATTTTCCAACAGGACTTGGCGCCTTGCATGTTCTCTCAGTGCTGCATGGTTTTTCTCTGTGTAGACTAGGGGTTGAACGAGTATATAATTTTTAAACTCGACATTAACATAATAAAACCCGAGTAGAACTCGAGTATTTGATGACGTCATAGATCTCAAGATACAAAAATAAATAAAACTGCAAAAAAAGGTAATTACAAAAAAAAAAAGACCAACAAAACATTGGGAGCGTATAATATGCTCCTACCATTTATCATACTGCAAATAAGTCACAGGAAAAACTAAACTATTAGTTATTATTATTAAACTGCAAATGTGAAGAAACATGCAGCACGTCAAAAACGAAACTTAAACTGAAATTGGTTCTGGTTCGGTGGATTGGACCCGGTGTTACACCATACTCTGTGGCCTGCAACAGTGCAACACTGCCCTACGGTCATATGGTGGTCACATAATATGACGTCACTAAGGATACTCGACGTAACATTTTTAACCTCGTTAGATGTCCTAGCAATCGATGTGTAGATTACTCGAGTATTCTGTTAATGCCCTAGTGTAGACTGGTTTCCTCCCACAGACCAAAAACATGCAAGTTAGGCTGATTGGTAACTCTAAATTGTCCCTAGGTGTGAGTGAGAGAGTGAATGGTTGTTTTTCTCTATGTGTCCCTGTGATGGACTTGCGACCTGTCCAGGGTGTCCCCTGCCTCTCACACAGTGACTGCTGAATATGAACACCAGTGACCCTGTTACCCAAAATGGAAGAAGCGGGTAAAGATAATGGATGAATGGATGGATGTTTTGCTCATAATATTCTGTTCTTTGCTGAGAGCTTAAGATGGCGGTCGAGGGTTGTTGTGCATCTCTCCCTATGTCATGTGATGAGTGACAGGTCCCTTCCATTTTTCATATGAGGTGTGTCACGGATGTCTGGGTAGATTTTTTTGTTTGGATCCATCCTTTTTTATTTATCTTCCCTGTCTGGAAGTAAATTATGTCACAAACCAGATTTTAATGAAACTTACGGAAAGCAATCAGTGGATGTGTTTACAATGATTAACTTTTAGATTTAACAGAATTCAAGATGGCCACAACAAATTTTTAACAAAAACAACTATAACTTAGCCGTTTACCTATTTTGATGTTATGGTCGTAGCTGAGAGTCATTCACAACACGTATTCAGAGTGTTAATAAATCATGCAAGATGTTGAGGGCTTGGCTGTAGCAAAACATACTGTACTAAATGTGCCATTATTTCTAAGGTTTGACCAAAACGGCTTTACCATAGTCATTTTTCAACATTGAACGTTCTGAGCCCTAAACTATGGCAGGTGATATATATTTCTTCAAAAGTGCTAGAAGCAATATAAGAAAAATACTCCAACCTGGGTAGCATAGATGGCTCTCTTCATGATGGTGAAGTCATCTCGGTCCAGGATGGCATTCATATCTGGAATATGCCCTCTGAGAATAGATGGTATGAGCAAATATATTTATCAGTAAACAGCAGAGATCAGTTATATATAGATTCTACATTTTCAGATTGTCGGTTCATTCAGAATCCACAGACTTACTTTAATAGAGCATCATAGAGGTTTTTACCAAACTTCTCCTTCACAGTATGAGCTGTGTCCCTGTGAGAGACAAGTGGAAATCAGAATGTTATCTTTGACATTAGGTCCTGAACTCTAGAATTTATTTAAAATTTTCTTAATCAAGACTAACAATATGCAAATGTTGACTGATCTCAGCACAAATAATCATCTACAGGGACAGTTTTTGATGTGGTGAGTCCTGATTCTGTTGGAATCCCTTATGAAGCTCTCAGGATTGAAATTTAACTTCTTTTTTTTGTTTTTACATTTTTGGCCAATCACATTGCAGGGACATATGACCAACGATGATGATGACTTTAACTGAACAGTTAATGCTAAATATACTGAAAAACATTTTTTACTTAATTAGAATTTTGTCGTTCTTGTCATAACGCCTATCAACACACTAGGTGTTACACAACCTACAGTGTGGACTTGACCCCAATAATGAGAACCTTGATGTAGAGGAAAGTTCTCCCTGAAGATCGCTGTCCTCTGAAACACACAGCCATTTACTTTCAGCACCAGTTTAACCCTGTTCAGGCATCACTGTCACATTGTGTTTGCTTTAACCATTCTTTTTATTACTTTCAGTGAGGTGTCTGACATCATCACACACACTCCATGAGCTCACTCCATATCGTGCCTCTTAGAATGTTTGAAAAATACTGATGTGTCATTAGGCCAGTCTGTCTCGCTGTTCATCGTCTCTCTACTGGCACTGTTCCTGAGTTTTATTCTTTTTTACTTGACTTTGTTAAGACTGCTATTTTTGGGTGTAACTGGGACCTTGGGTACACAATTTTCTTCAACCTCATGTACCACATGTGATGTGAATGACAATAAAGAACATTGAACCGTAAACCCATTTTCATGAAACCTAATAGATCCAGCTGTGTTAGTAAACTAAAAGCTTGACTCTAAACAGTCCATTATATCAAATGTTTGTGTCACGTTTCTGCCCCTTCCTGCCATACTTTTCTGTCTTCATGTCTGTTTTGCCTATCACTCATCCTTCAGTTCAAGCCTGCTCCCTCCAAACCTTGGCATGCCTCCCTTGTTTCACCACAGCAATCAGCACTCATCAGCTTCACCTGTTCACCAGCCTTTATAAGCTCCACATCCACAACCCACCAGTGCCAAATTAGCAAACCTTTCCAAGTAGTAGATGTTCAGGGTTCATGCCACAGCCTTGTTTGACTACCCAATTCTGACCTCTTGCCTGCCTCTTGGTTTCCTCACCTTGCTTATTTTCCCCTGCCTGATTTGGATCTCACTCTTTGACCATGGTAATGACTCTGCTCTTCCTCACCTCGACTATGTATCTTGCCTTGTACTCTGGATGTGGCTAAGGATTTCTGACCACCTGTTTATGACCTTGGACCGTTCTACTGGACCTCGATTCTGGACTTGCCCCAACAGCTCATACTGCAAAGCTCTCCTGCCCTGCTGCAGCTCAGTCAGCACTAGTGACATCATTGGATCCACCTGTCACACGGAGTCTGCTTTCTTCCTGACTGTGAAGGTTAGTGACTGCCTTTATTTTCCTAAAAACCTTCACAGTCAAAACCAAGTCACAAACTTTACTGTCTTTGCAGATCCGAGTGGCCCACGGATTCAGACCTCCATCAGAGATCATGCTGTAATAAAACTTTTAAAACATTCCTGCATTTAAAACCTTCACATCATTGTGAAGAAGACAAAGGACATGATTGTGGACTTCAGAAGGAACAAACACAACTACACCTCCTGAACATAAGAGGATCTGCAGTGGAAGTGGTCTCCAGCTACATGTACTTGGGTGTACACATGAATGACAACCTCAGCTGGGGCAACAACACCACCAGCCTGATGAAGAAAGCTCATCAGAGACTCTACTTCCTCAGGCGGCTGAGACGAGCTGGTCTGGGAAGCTCAGTCCTCGCCTCCTTACACAGGTGTGCAGTGGAGAGCATCCTGTGCTCCAGCATCAACGTGTGGCATGGAGGCTGCAGAAAGAAAAGCTTTGCAGAGAGTGGTAAAGGCTGCACAGAAGTCTGTTGGAGTCAGTCTCCCCACCATCACAGACATCTACACCTCCAGATGCAGGAAGAGGGCCACCTGCATCATGAAGGACCCCACTCACCCAGCACACACACTTTTTGCCCCATTCCCCTCAGGAAGGAGGTTGAGGAGTATTAAGTGTAGAACCACTAGACTGAGGAACAGCTTCTACCCTGAGGCTGTTAGACTCATGAATCTCTAACCAGAATAATCACTGTGAAAAATCACATCATGTTGCTGCTGATCTGTTTCATGTTGCTGCTGATCTGTTTCATGTTGATGTGTTCATGTGTGCTCATCTGCTCACACAGACTCATGTTCGTGCTGCTGTTGGGTGTATTGTTTTATGCTATTAGTGCTTAGTGCATTATTTAGTTGATGTTTTTCTTAGTTCATATCTTAGATGTTATTACTGTTTTTCTTTTACATTTTATTGTTGGATGTAACTGGGACCCTGTGTACATAATCTCGTTCCACCACATGAGATGCGAATGACAAATCTCTCTGAATCTCTGACTCTAATCTTGGTGCATTTCCTGACTCCAAAACCCAATTCATGTCAGTTTGACAAAAAATGTGTAACTAGACACCTGAACATGTTTCAGTCAAGATTGTATCATTAAAACAGCAGGGACAGAACTCTGCAGTTACCAGTGATGCTCTCAGTTTAAATAGTGGTGGAATTGCCATTGGAGTTCTTTTAGATTCTTCTGCTGCCTTTGATACAATTGATGATGCAGTTCTCATTGTCTCCAAAGGTGGGTTGGGATTTCTGATGTAACTTATAAGTTTACTAATGTTTAATAACATAAACTTCATAGCACAATAAGGCTTACGTTCTATCTCTCAAAGGTCTATGTTGTGAGCAATGATAGCGCTTCTTTTGCACTTCTGACTTGTGGGGTGCTTCAGGGGTCTATTCCTAGATCTGTTTTATTTTCTTTAATATTTGCACCACTTGGGGTCAGTGCCTAGATCTCATATTTCTGTGGGGCTGTGGGTTTTAGCCCAGGTTGTGTCAAGAAGGGCAGCTGGCTTAAAACCCTTTCAAAATGTTTTGTACATATTTGCTCACTGTAGCTATATCTGCAGGAGGAGAGCAGTTGAAAGAAGGAACAAAGTACATACTCCCCTTTGTTCTGTGACAACAGAGTTATAACTGTGTTGTTTCAAAATATGCTGATGATAAACATATTTGCATCCAAAAACCATGGTTATTGCACAAATGTTGCTATTTTTACAACTGTTTGGCTGATGTTAGAAACTGGACATCATTCAGTTTTCTTCAGCTAAACCAGATTAAAACTGAAGTGTTGATTTTTGCCCCAAACCCAATTCCTGACATTTTCCATTTTCTTGGTCCTCTAGGTGCTCACAAAAATCATCTGATAAAAAGACAGGTGTCATCTTTCATCAACAACTCAAATTTGACAAATGTTAACTGTAGTTCAGTCGAGTTACTTTCTGAGAAATATAGTCAAATTACAGCTTCTTTTTTTCAACAATTAGAAACTGTAATTTATGCTTTGATTCATCAAATCTAGACTACTTTAAATCCTTTTCTTTCTGGAAAAAAGTGTTAATATTGTCAGCACAGTACAGGTATCATGTTCCCGTACAGTGATGAAATTTGTGCTCTGCATTTGACTCATCACACGTGAGATGCTCACAAGTGGAGCAGGGGAAAGCTATGTAAGTGCCCAGGGAACAGTGAGGTTATAAGGGTCTTACTTAAGGACACCATGACATGTGCATGGATGGCAGTCAACCCTGTGCCCTACAGTACTCTCAAGTCGCTGCCCTACCTCTACGCTAAAGCCACCCAAACCAAGGCACTCTCTCTCATCTAGTACAAAACACAGCTGCAAAACTTCTCACCAAAACCCTGTTTGGTTCTCATATCACCAGGTTCTATCACTAGCTTCCTGTAAAATTCAGAACTTAATTTAATCTCCTCCTTGTCCATTTAGGTTCCTTTTTACATCAGTTAACATTTAATCCTTTTTGCATCCTCTAGTCCCCTAAGGTCTTCAGATAAAAGGCTTCTAGTTGTGAGATTTTTCAGTCCAGGGTTTCAATTTTTGAAACATTCTTCCTCCACATGTCAGTATGAGCTCTCTAGAATGCTTTTGTCGTATTTCTGCAGTTTGTTAGAACCCATGTGCAAGCCGAGGCAGAGAACTCGGGAGTAAAATTGTAGGGGTTGCAGTTGTGCTTCACTCCACAGATTCTGGTTACCTGGGAGACAGGATTTATGAGCCACAGCTGACAGCCATCTACACCAATCAGACTGGGACTATTTAAGACTGAGGACTGGCTTCATTCAGTGCTGAAGCATTTCCTGCTTATGACTTTGGTTTTCCAGTGCCTCCCATCTTGAATCAACCTGAGCACCTGTGGACCTGATGAACAGGGCTTTCCTGGATGTGGTTCCTCGTCTCATCTTATCTGCAAACAGCTTCCTCCGGTAACATCTTACATCCATGCTCCACCTGAGTCCTCCCTGGAAAGTCTTTGGACCTTGGTTGGAGAATCTCCTGGACTCACCCCTTGTGATACAAAGACTGAATATTAGCCACTGTAAATAAAACACTGATCTTTGTTCTTCTGAGTCTGTTATCCTTCAGTCCGTTCATCTGGGTCCTTATTTAATGCTACCTCATGACAAAAATAATCAAATCAATTTATTAAAGAAAAAGACTGATGGGGCAGAAAACTTACACAGTCATTGGGGAGACACGGAGGGAGGCAGAAAGCTGGATGCCATACAGGAACATGGGTGGACATGGGGAACATAGAGACTCAGACTTCAATACAAAACAACAAATAATAAGATATACCTGGGGAAAAGACAATTAGGAACAGGTGGGAGTGGCAGGAGTTGGAAACAGACCACATGGGGGAGACACACTAGGAAACACAAATCCTCACAGTTTTAAATCAACAAAAATAACAAAAAACAATTTTCGGTCTAATTTCTGCAATAGTGGTTTTTTTTTATGTTTTATTGTCATGTATCATTTGTTGCTTTAAGTCATATTTGATTTGGGTCTAATTGTTTTAATGTGCTTGATGTAAACCACTACTTTATGTTATAAATGGTGCTATACAAATTAAATGTGCTTACTTGACTCATTGGTGTATATATGGTGACATATGGGAGATGTCTGATTTCTCCCTGTTCAAACAAATCAGTGAATCTGATTGATTTGGTCTAATGAAGGTGTATATAGTATTGTCTGATGGAAAATTAATATAGTTCTTGTACAGCAGCCTGTATCTATATCTGATGGTGGGAATGCATAATAACACTTAGTACTTTCTAAGTACTTTTTAACAGATCTTTCTTGAAAACAAGTCCTCATGACTCAATGACACTAACCTGTATACAGTAAATAAAGGTTGAATGAAAAGTACTCAGATATGTACCTTTTTAGTACCCTGTAGATAGCAGGTAAGTAATAGGTACATAGCCTGTAAGTAACAAATACATATTCCATGTATTTGGGGTATGTACCCAGTAAGTATTTATGTATGTATCCTATTTTCAGGTCTCTCTTGTAAATGAGTCCTCGAGGCTCAGTGGGATTAACCTGTCTAAAAAAATGTTGAATGAATGTAAGTGACATTATTTGGAGCAAAGTTCATACTAGTTATAGCTAGTACTTATTGGGTATGATTAAATTCATTTCAGTTCAGTTTATTTTTATAGCACCAAGTCACAACAGAAGTCGTCTCAGGGCAATGAACATATACGGTATGTATGTACCTGGTATTTTAAAGGGGGTGTACCTGTTACTTACTGCACACTTACAGATTCCTTGCCAAGTACATATCAGGTACACACCTGGTATGGACAGTGTACTTTTTTCATTCATTCAACCTTTATTTAAACAGATAAGTCATGTTGAGCCTCAAAGACTCATTTACAAGCTAGACCTGTTTGGACAGACAATAAAAGTGATAAACTGGACACATGTAGGAATTGGAGGCGAAAAAATTCCTATCAGACTTTTTTCCCTGCCTGATGCTTACTGAATAATAAAATATAAAATTATTGTATACTTTCAGAAGACATACCAGATACAATCCAGGTACACACCTGGCATCTATAGGGTATGTACCTGGTCCTTACTGTAAGTACCAGATATGTATCCAAAATGTAATGGCCTGTATAATGTATTGCTACCTAACTGATATTATTTTTTGAACAAAATTCATACCAAAGTTGCTTGCGTACTGCTTGCCCCTTCAGTGACTCCACATTGAAGTTGTTCGTTTTAGCTGGCATGATGAAGAAAACCACCACTGTCATATCATTTTTATGAACCTGTGGAAAAAGTTGTTTTAGTTTGATAATTTTGGCTCTTGATGGTGTGATGCAAAATACACAGAATACACAGAAATGAGGGCTCTCACCCGCAGTAAGTAGTTGAGTCTGGACAGTGATTCCAGAAAAATATCAGCTCCCTTGTTGGAAAACTCATACCGTCCAGCAATGAAGAAGAACAGAGTTTTATCCAAGCTGAAGTCAAGATGCCTGTCAGGATAAAAAGGTTTAATGAATGCTATTACAATCATTCATCAGCTAAGTTAGTACCGGTATCCTTTATGATAACAAGCTAACTCAATTTGATGAAGCAACGTTATAAAAAAAGATGAGTTTCCTCAGGACTGGTCATCCAGCTTTCCCACCCATAAAAGTGTCCTCTGACAAATTCCTGGATCCGAGCCTTGTTGGTGGAGTGCTTGTTCTGAAACTCATGCATGGCGGAGAACTTCTTCACATTCAGTCCGTTTGGTGTCACCACATCTGAACCAACATGACAAAAACAGTTTAACAGAAATGGATTGAGTTTGACCTCACTGTGAAGTAGAAAAAAGCTCAAAAGTCAGACTAAATCTTTGGTTTTGGTTATTTATATTCATGAGCCATTGTCCAAGGGTTAGGCTTAGGGTTAGATCAGTGATCACTCATTTAGATCAGTCAAGTCAATAATGTTATCTATGTTAGTGTGACTCAAGAGACAATCAACATCGACAGTCCAATTTACAGTTCACTTCAGACTTTTCCATTCACTCATCATGAACACTAATGTCACATTCATTTTGGGTTTTAAATGTTTTTTTAGCCTTTCCACATGGACTGATTATACAAAATACTGCTTCAGTTGTTTTTGAAAACCAAATTTAAACTTATTGTGGATTTTCTCTGATCTACACAATGTCAAAATTATATATACTTTGAACCTTTCCTCATTTGTACAACTACAACTTCAAAATTTTGACTGGGATTTTATACAAAAGACCAACAAAAACAGTGTGTAATGTGGTGAGGTTTAAAAAAAAAATACAGTATTTTCAAATAAAACTCTGAAATGTGGCCTGCATTCACACTTTTTACTCTGATACCCCAAATTAAAATTCAGTCCAACAACTTGCCCTGAGAGGTCACTTAGTCCATCCATCCATCCATTTTCTTCTGCTTATCCGGGGTCGGGTCGTGGGGGTAGCAGCCTAAGTAGGGAGGCCCAGACTTCCCTCTCCCCAGCCACTTGGGCCAGCTCTTCCGGGGGAATCCTGAGGCGTTCCCAGGCCAGCCGAGAAACATAGTCCCTCCAGCGTGTCCTGGGTCTTCCTCTGGGCCTCCTTCCGGTGGGACGTGTCCGGAACACCTCACCAGGGAGGCGTCCAGAAGGCATCCTAAACAGATGCCCAAGCCACCTCAACTGGCTCCTCTCGACATGGAGAAGCAGCGGCTCTACTCCAAGTCCCTCCCGGATGATCGAGCTTCTCACCCTGTCTCTAAGGGAGAGCCCAGACACCCTGCGGAGAAAACTCATTTCGGCCGCTTGTATCCGAGATCTCATTCTTTCGGTCACAACCCAAAGCTCGTGACCATAGATGAGGGTGGGAACGTAGATCGATCGGTAAATTGAGAGCTTCGCCTTTTGACTCAGCTCTCTCTTCACCACGACAGACCTGTACAACGCCCGCTTCACTTCAGATGCTGCACCTATCCGCCTATCGATCTCACGCTCCATTTTTCCCTCATTCGTGAACAAGACCCCAAGATACTTGAACTCCTTCACTTGGGGTAGGACCTCCTCCCTGACCCGGAGAGGGCACTCTACCCTTTTCCGGCTCAAGACCATGGCCTCGGATTTGGAGGGACTGATCTTCATCCCGGCCGCATCGCATTCGGCTGCGAACCGCTCCAGCGAATGCTGTAGATCACGATCTGATAAAGCCAATAAGACCACATCATCTGCAAAAAGCAGAAATGCAATCCTAAGGCCACCAAAACGGATCCCCTCAACACCTTGGCTGCGCCTAGAAATTCTGTCCATAAAAGTTATGAACAGAATCGGTGACAAAGGGCAACCTTGGTGGAGTCCAACTCTCACAGGGAACAAGCCCGACTTACTGCCGGCAATGCAGACCAGGCTCTGACACCGGTCATACAGGGACCTAACAGCCCGTATCAAAGGGCCCGGTACCCCATACTCCCAGAGTACCCCCCACAGGGCCCCCCACAGGGCCCCCCGAGGGACGCGGTCGAACGCCTTCTCCAAGTCCACAAAGCACATGTAGACTGGTTGGGCAAACTCCCACGCACCCTCCAGGACCCTGCTGAGAGTGTAGAGCTGGTCCAGTGTTCCACGGCCAGGACGAAAACCGCACTGTTCCTCCTGAATCCGAGGTTCGACTATCCGACGGACCCTCCTCTCCAGAACCCCTGAATAGACCTTACCAGGGAGGCTTAAGAGCGTGATTCCCCTGTAGTTGGAACACACTCTACGGTCCCCCTTTTTGAATAGGGGGACCACCACCCCGGTCTGCCAATCCAGGGGAACTTCCCCCGATGTCCACGCAATATTGCAGAGTCGCGTAAGCCAACACAACCCTACAACATCCAGAGCCTTTAGGAACTCTGGGCGAATCTCATCCACCCCTGGGGCCTTGCCACCGAGGAGCTTTTTAACCACCTCGGTGACCTCAGCACCAGAGATTGGAGGGCCCGACCCAGAGTCCCCAGGCTCCGCTTCCTCAGTGGAAGACGTACCGGTGGGATTGAGGAGGTCTTCAAAGTATTCCGCCCACCGACCCACGACATCCCGAGTTGAGGTCAGCAGCACACCACTCCCACTATAAACAGTGTTGGTGGCGTACCGCTTTCCCCCCCACTGAGACGCCGGATGGTGGACCAGAATCGTCTTGAAGCCGTGCGGAAGTCGTTCTCCATGGCCTCTCCGAACTCCTCCCATGCCCGAGTTTTTGCCTCAGCAACCACCCGAGCCGCATGTCGCTTGGACTGCCGGTACCCATCAGCTGCTTCCGGGGTCCCACAGGCCAAAAAGGCCCGATAGGACTCCTTCTTCAGCCTGACAGCATCCCTCACCGACGGTGTCCACCATCGGGTTCGAGGGTTGCCACCGCGACAGGCACCGACAACCTTGTGGCCGCAGCTCTGGTAAGCCGCCTCGACAATAGAGGCACGAAACATGGTCCACTCAGACTCAATGTCCCCCACCTCCCTCGGAACATGTTCAAAGTTCTCCCGGAGGTGGGAGTTGAAACTCCGTCTCACAGGAGACTCTGCCAGACGTTCCCAGCAAACCCTCACAATATGTTTGGGTCTGCCAGGTCTGACCGGCATCCTCCCCCACCATCGGAGCCAACTCACCACCAGGTAGTGATCAGTTGATAGCTCCGCCCCTCTCTTCACCCGAGTGTCCAAGACATGTGGCCGCAGATCAGATGAGACGATGACAAAGTCGATCATCGAACTGCGGCCTAGGGTGTCCTGGTGCCAAGAGCACATATGGACACCCTTATGCTTGAACAAGGTGTTCGTTATTGACAACCCATGACGAGCACAGAAGTCCAACAACAGAACACCGCTCTGGTTCAGATCAGGGGGGCCGTTCCTCCCAACCACACCCCTCCAGGTCTCACTGTCATTGCCCACATGAGCATTGAAGTCCCCCAGCAGAACAAGGGAGTCCCCAGAAGGTGCACTTTCCAGTACCCCCTCCAAGGACTCCAGAAAGGGTGGATAATCCAAACTGCCGTTTGGTGCATAAGCACAAACGACAGTCAGAACCCGTCCCCCCACACATAGGCGGAGGGAGGCCACCCTCTCATTCACCGGGGTGAACCCCAACACACAGGCACCAAGTTGGGGGGCAATAAGTACGCCCACGCCTGCTCGGCGCCTCTCACCAGGGGCAACTCCAGAGTGGAAGAGTGTCCAGCCCCTCTCAAGGAAACTGGTTCCAGAGCCCGAGCCATGCGTAGAGGTGAGTCCGACTATTTCTAGCCGGAACCTCTCAGCCTCACACACCAGCTCAGGCTCCTTCCCCACCAGTGAGGTGACATTCCACGTCCCAATAGCCAGCTTCTGTAGCTGAGGATCAGACCGCCAGGGTCCCCGCCCTCGGCCACCACCCATCCCACATTGCACCCGACCCCTTTGGCCCCTCCCACAGGTGGTGAGCCCATGGGAAGGGGGACCCACGTCTCCTCTTCGGGCTGTGCCCGGTCGAGCTCCATGGGTAAAAGCCCGGCCACCAGGCGCTCGCCCGCGTGCCCCACCTCCAGGCCTGGCTCCAGAGTGGGGCCCCGGTGACCCACGTCCGGGCAAGGGAACATTAGGTCTGTTTATTTTTCACATCAAAGGGGTTAGGTCACTTAGTAACCTATTAAATTTATTCTCAGTATAAACCCAGCTGTTGTCTAAAGGTTCCAGAGATTTCTTACAGAACATTAGTGATAAATAGGCATTATAGAAACCAAGGAGCATGCCTCACAGGTTAGGGATAACTTTGCTGAGAAGCTTAAAGCAGGATTAGGGCATTAAACAATAGCACATCTATCATCTGAAAATGGAAGAAGTATTGCACAACTGCAAATCTTCTAAGACATGGCCACCTAAACCAATAGCCAAGGGAAGGAGAACATTATTCTGAAAAGTAGCCAAGATGACCACATTAACTCTGGGTAGTTGGGCTGTTCTTCTGAGTAAGGGTTGTAAGCTCAATCATCCAGGTAGATAACAACAAAAGGGTTAAATGGTGTCATGTGGATCAGTTTCTTTAAGTGAGAAATGTTTTGTTCATCCCATCCAGAGGACTTCCTCAGTCTACGGCCTGCCAACCAGATCTGTGCCATAGGTAGCCTTCACTGCTGTGTTTCAAGCCAACCTCCTGTTGGAATCTCAAAAGTAGGCTTTTAATGTGTGCAAAACACACCCATCCAAAAATAATCATCATGTACAACAATTAACTGTTTTAGGCCAGATGGCCAACTTGCTACTCACAGAAACAGCCTGAGGACAACCAAGGCCAAAGTGGTTCAGAAAAAGATTTGTAAGCTCAACAATCCAGGTAGATAACAACAAAAAAAATTAAATTGTGTCATCTGCAGATTGGTCAACAGATCAATTGGTCAACAGATCTGGTTGGCAGGCCGTAGACTGAGGAAGTCCTCTGGATGGGGGACGAAACCTTTGTCACTTAAAAAAACAGGTCCAGATGACATGATTTAACCTTTTTTGTTGTCATCTTCTGAGTCTTCAACCTGCACCACCAGATATCCTGCAGGTCAAGGAGAGTTGATCTGATGGCCCACTCAGCTGTGCAGACCACCCTTTTAGGTGCTTTGAAGTCCTCTTTGATTAAGTTGCCCATCCAGGTGATGATGTTCCCAATCACGATGATCTTGATGGTGCAGGTGTAGAAATTCTTGAGCATCTTTCCCTGAAGTTTCTGAGGCATGCGAGATGGAAGACATACTGTCTCGTGATTGTGACTGATTGGAGCTGACAATTTCTTTATGTGAGTGTTATGAAGGCAAATTTGAGTTTAAAGCAATACATTTGTATTAATGTTTTATATCAGATAGTTAACTTGAAAGCTAGGTTGATCATGTGTGGGCAGTCGTCCAGAATAGTGTGTCTAACCATGGGGTATACTTTATTTTCAGTTGCTGTACTAATGTGAAAGTGTTTTATTATAAAGAGTTGCATACAGGCTTTGACTCATGTTTTTGTGATTTTAAAGTATTAAAGTCAACAAAAAAGCTGATGGTTTAACAGCAGTCAATGACTTGGCCAGTGCTCCCTCAAATGAAAGGATATAGGTTAGGTTGTTGAGTAACTACCCAGGAACCATCAAGGTTCAGACCTACCATGAACTGGAAACTGCTGGAACACCAGTGTCCATGTGAAACCAGTTTATCACTATATATTAAAATGGTAGAAGCTCCTGTTCCAAAAGCCACACCTTTAAGTTGGACTAAAATCAGCAGTTGTACTAATGGACAAGACAAATGTCTTCTGGAGAAAAGTGGGATGGTTGGACAAGAGCTGTTTGCCACAATGAGATGTGTATGTCAAGAAAAGTCAAGGCAAGGCTTTGAGATCTAACAACGTTGTACCAACAGTCAAGCATGGGGATGGTGCCATCATACTGTGGCACAAAGTAGATGCAATAATGAAGAAGTAGGTCCAAACCTTTCAACTTCACCTCTCATCAACAGATAGACCATTGAAACTTGGACACAATTGGGTGTGCAAACAGGACAGTGATGTAAAGAACACGTCAGAACTGGTTTCTGATTGGATAAAGCAGGATAAAATTGAGCTTCTAAAATAGTCTTCCTAAAGCCCCAACCTCAACTCAAATGAAAATTTGTGGACTTTGTTGTAAAAGAAGTGTCCATGCTAGGAAACCAACAAACTCTACCAATTCTTCCAGGAAGTGTGGTCAAACATCAGCCAAAATTCTTATTGATGCACACAAAAAGCCTCTGGTTCAGGTGCAACTTGTTAAGGGGCAATTAATCACAAGACCCAATAAAAGCCCAAATGAAAACATTATTCATGCCCATGATGAGTGTGTGGAAAGTTCTAATCACATGTTTGTGTGTGTAGAAAAGATCAACAGAGAAAGTCTCCACCTGGTTTCCTGTGCAGCATGTGGTTGGCCTCCACAGCAGTGATCTGGGACACTGTGGTGAAAACGTGAGCACAGTGTACTGCTGCTCGCTCCAGGCAGTACCGATGATAGATCTGCCTCTCGCCTGCCTCCTTATCAATGTTGAACTACAACACACAGAAAGTGCAGGTCACATTTCATCTCCTAAATGTAGAGGAAAGTTTCAGTAGAAGAACATGACTTGCTCTGTGTAGATGAACGTATAAATCTAAAAAAGTTAAGTCTGGTCCTCTGGACATTCGTTGTTGTTTTGTATTTTGAATGTCCAGAGGACCAGACTTAACTTTTTTAGATTTTTCTACCTGGATTATTGAGCATACATCAGGATATGTATAAATATAATTCCGTCTTAAAAGTAGTCACACGATTGTATGCATTGGTGTCAGAAGCATTTGTAATGTGGAGAGGCAGGGGACACATTGGTGGGGGGTGGGGGTCTGGGTATCCTCCCCCAAAATATTTTGAATAAAGTAGATGCCATTTCCTGCATTCTGGTGTATTTTAGCAGGTTGTTAAACATCTACATTTTCATTCAATATTTTAGAGAGCAACAAGAAGTAACCTGACTAACAGCTCTCCTCGTGTGAATAGATCATGCTCTGCTTCTGTAATGCATTCTAACAAGATACCTCTGTAATGAAAGGTCAGCAGAAATGTCTCCCCATTAGTGCTCTTTATTCAGAAAATCCACACGTCACATCTGCATTTCAGGATCTGATTATTATACAGTAGACACAGATTAAATCCATCCATCCATTATCTTTACCCGCTTATTCCATTTTTGGGTCACGGGGGTCGCCGGTGCCCATGTCCAGCAATCACTGTGCGAGGGGCGGGGTACACCCTGGACAGGTCTCCAGTCCATCACAGGGACACATAGAGACAAACGAGACAAACAACCATTCACTCTCTCACTCACACCTAGGGACAATTTAGAGTTACCAATCAGCCTAACATGCATGTTTTTGGTCTGTGGGAGGAAACTGGAGTACCCGGAGAAAACCCACGCATGCACGGAGAGAACATGCAAACTCCACCCAGAAAGGCCCCTGGACCGGGGTTTGAACCACGGACCTGCTCGCTGAGAGGCAGCAGCTCTACCAGTTGCGCCACCGTGCTGCCACACACAGATTAAATATTAAATATAAATATTTCTATATTTATCACCACAGTAATAGTGTTACATACATACGTTAGTAGTTGTAAACACTCAAAAGAATGCATATGATGGTTTAGTGTTTACCTTTAACCTAAACATTTAAGGAGTAAACATTTTTAATAATCACATTAAAAGTTACAAATGTTGTCTTTTGTGTCTGTTTGTTTTCCACATCTATTATTATGCTGGTGAAGATTCTCAGTCATCCAGGACATGATGAATTCAAAAAGCGTTCAATACAAAAACAACTGGACTTTATTTGTAACAGAAGACGTTTCGCTCCTCATCCGAGGAGCTTTCTCAGTTCAAAGAGCAGAGAGTGAGAGATACAGGTTATAAGACTGAGTGAGATAAGACACACACACACACACACATATATGTAGATTGGCAGTTCACACCTAAAAACCTAAACAGTAGGAGTCTTTGTTCCTCTAATTCACAGACGAGGCCCCTCTGTTCCCATCAGGTGTGAAAACCGTCTGGGAATCTGTTTTAAAGTTGCATTATAGGTTTTTGAAAGTGGAAATCTGAGGCCTCCTCCTCTGTTAAGAGACGGCTTTTCTCTTTTTACATAAATTGCCTCCTTCACCCCCCTCTCAAACCATCTGTGTTCTCGGTCCAAAATGTGCACATTTTGGTCCTCAAAAGAGTGTTCCTTATCTGTGAGATGGAGGTGAACAGTTGAGTCTTGTCCTGTGGAGCTGGCTCTCCTGTGATGAGCCATGTGTCTGTGAAGAGGCTGTATAGTTTCTCCAATGTAGAGGTCTGGACAGTCCTCGCTGCACTGGACAGCAGACACTACACCACTCTGTTTGTGTATGGATGCTTTGTCCTTAGGGTGGACCAGCCTCTGTCCGAGAGTCCTGCTGGGTTTGAAATGTACTGGGATCTTGTGTTTGTTGAAGATCCTTCTGAATTTCTCTGATACTCCAGCAACATAAGGGATGACAATGTTTTTACGTCTGCTGTTCTCCTTTTTCTGTTTATTGGTGTGTTTTGTAGATTTATCAGAAGAAGAAAATATTGTAAAATATATATTTTCCTGTTGTTTTACAAGTGGAAGAATAACCTAACCATTTTTTTATATTTATTGCAGCTGCACAATCCACAGAATGAAGATTTTTTTTAATTCTGGAAAAATACATTTTCTGGTATTTTTAGCAGAGTAAGAGGATATCAAAAATATATTTTAATTGTATGTACATATGTTTTTACATAGGGGTTATAAGCTATTGTGCCAAGTTGTAAATGAATCTTTTCCCAATAACAGTAAATCTGCTCAGGCTCAGATGTGAATATTGAGCTGTAAGAAAGTCTCAAAAGTCACATTCATAAGCTGCTGATCCATGCATAGCATGTGATTTGTGCATGTGTTTTTGACAAGATGTTTGCACAGAATATTCCTACTTGTGCAAACTGAAATGTGTAAATTTGAAAAACTTTATGCGTTTGTAAAACTTGTGGTATGCTTGTAGATCTTCCTGTATGCATACAATCCTCGTGGTGTGCTTGTGGGACTACTTTTGAGACTATCTTAATAGAAGTGTGTTAAAGGCAGGAACACACATCGTCCTTGAAGGAAAACAAAATAACTTTAAAACAGTTGATAAAACAAATAATAAAGATAATAAAGGCCTAGTATTCCTTTAAGGAATGCTTATCACCAACTGTCTTTCAGGCCAAAATATTAAGCCAGGGCCATTCAGCCAAATCGCCCAAGGGGCCACAGTTACTGAAAGCCAAGAGCCAAAAATCTAGTTTTATTTGAAAATAAACCCATTGTTGGGCCGAACTGAACTCACCTGTGGGCCTGATTTGACCCCCAGGCCACCAGTTGAACAGCCTGTATTAGTCCATCTAATGCTGAGAACAGAGACTTATAGCCTTTATAGTCAAACCTTGTAAATTACATTAAGCACAATCTCATGCAATAATAATGGATTTTGCAAAATGTGTCATCACTTGAAGTACAGTGTGTGTTTGTAACAATATTTCATGAAACACGGGGTGGATTTCAATGGCACTCAGAAAACAACTGCTGTGGATGTAACTCTACAATTGATTATCTTTTGGAGTCAACCTGAGTAAAGATCTTGAATATTTTACATTTGATCAAAGAGGGGTATAATGCTTTAAACTTGTTCAAATAAGATGATACTACACTGCCTGGCCAAAAAAAAAATAAAGTCTCCACCTGGATTTAACTAAGCAAATCGTTATGAGCCTCCTATTGGATCATCACTGCATGGACCATTATGTTTCAGCTGCAACAAGTTATTTAACCACAACTGGTGCAATGAGTTGCTTCTCATTTCTTCAACTACCGTGTTGAAAGACACATCACTTGGTCGTGGAAAAGAAGTCAGTCTGTTTGAGAAGGGTCAAATCATTGGTATCAAGCAGAGAAAACATCTAAGGAGATTGTAGAAACTACTAAAATTAGGTTCAGAACTGTCCAACACATTATTAAAAACTGGAAGGACAGAGGGGACCCATCGTCTTCGAGGAAGAAATGTGGCTGGAAATAAATCCTGAATGATGGTGATCAGTGATCACTTAAACACTTGGTGAAATCAAATGGAAGAAAAACAACAGCAGCACTCAGAGCTGTGTTTAATAGTGAAAGTAAGAACAACTGCACCAGCACAATGTGAAGAGAACTCAAGGGACTGGGACTGAACAGCTGTGTAGCCTTAAGAAAACCACTAACCAGTGAGGCTAACTGGAAAAAAAGGCTTCAGTTTGCTAGGGAGCATAAAGATTGGACTCTGGAGCAATGGAAGAAGGTCATGTGGTCTGATGAGTCCAGATTGACCCTGTTCCAGAGTGATGGTGCATCAGGGTAAGAAGAGAGGCAGGTGAAGTGACGCACCCATCATGCCTAGTGCCTACTGTACAAGCCTGTGGGGGCAGTGCTATGATCTGGGGTTGCTGCAGTTGGTCAGATCTAGATTCAGCAACAGTATGTGTTCAAAGGATGAGGTCAGCTGACTACCTGAATATACTGAGTGACCAGGTTATTCCATCAATGGATTTTTTCTTCCCTGATGGCACGGGCATATTCCAAGATGACAATGCAGGATTCATCGGACTCGAATTGTGAAAGAGTGGTTCTGGGAGCACGAGACATCATTTTCACACATGGATTGGTTATCACAGAGTCCAGACCTTAACCCCATTGAGAATTTTTGGGATGTGTTGGAGAAGGCTTTGCACAGTGGTCAGAACCTGCCATCATCAATGAAGATCTTGGTGAAAAATTAATGCAACACTGGATGAAAATAGATCTTGTGACATTTCAGAAGCTTATCGAAACAATGCTACAGCGAATGCATGCTCTAATTAAAGCTAAAGGCGGTCCAACCAAACATTAGGTGTGACCTTTTTTTTTTTTGGGTGGGGACTTTTTTTGGCGAGGCAGTGTATTTAGGTCTCTGACATGAATGGAATGTTAGGGTTTTTTTTACATTTGCTGAATATACTTTGGACCTCAGCTGTATACATAAAGAGAAGCACAATCCAAGTTGGGCTAGAGCAAACTTCATTTGTCGAACTGATTTCCTGTATACAGAAAGTTATTGTGCTGCACTGCAGATCATCTCACTTATCAAATCTAAATGCATATTGACGTGATTCCTTGGAGCCTCCCTCAGGTCCATCTGTCAATTATCCCTGTGTCGGTGAGCAACCTTCAGCTTCGTGCTGACCTTTAGGATGTGGATGGACATGGGCCCAATTATGAGCCATCCACACGCAGTGCAACGTTACTAATCATGTTCTGAGTGGTCGTAACAGACCTGAGCATGTGCAGAAATGTGACAGCTGCTGCCTCTCTGCATCGAACAGTGCTGTGAGTCAGAACATTAATGAATTGTTGCTCATTAGAAACTGTTTGGAGAACAAATATTTGGAATTAATTTCCAGGGTTATACCGTGTGTTGCTGTTGATCCAGTCTGGAATTGTTTGAAGTTTGATCTACAGTACTGTATTTTAGAATAAGCCAGCATCTTTTGTGTAAAGCCACAGGGAATGCATATTACCTGTCACCTTTCATACCAGACGATCATATCTTAGGAGTTGTGGCCAACTGGCCATTTTGCTCAAACCTTGAGAAAAAACATCATGCACAATCTCATGCAGTATTGTGAGATCATGGTTGCTTTATGTGTTGCAGAAGACTCATTTACTATCACACCAAATGTAAGATGAATATGTTAAAAGTGAGTGAGTTAAAGCCATTTTGTCCAGTCTAACGACATGCTGTAGAAGCCATCCTTAATTAGATTGACTCCCAAAGTTAATCAGTTGTAGATATACATCCAGTGATTTAGTTCTGAATTTCAATAAAATCAGTCAAGTGGTTCATGCAATATGTTTGCTATCAGACAAACAGGGTGGATTCCCAACAGTTATTGCTGAAGTTTTAAACAAAGACCTTGCCCAATGAGCAGTACTTAGAGTATGTGCTGTGACTGACTCTCAGCTACTACAACAGATTTTAGCACAATATTAGCACTGTAAAATTGACAAAAAAATTGATTGAAATATGGCAATTTTTGTGTTTTCTAAGGTGAGCTGACAGCTGTGGCCCTTTTGAACTGGGTTACCTGTAAATGTTAGTTACAAATATTCATTCATGTGCAACTTTTGACAATTTCCTGAAAGTTTCAGTTAAATTGTTCCAGTGGTTCATGAGATGTTTTGCTAACAAACAGTGTTGACACTAAATAGTTAACTGATCTTTTAATGTATACCAATATGCATGTGTAAACTCTGGCAACCTATGCCCCAGTATATTCATAGCTACTGATACTTCCAGTATTCAAGGTCAGCAGTAAACTCTAGTCTTTTGGTTTTTACACCTGCTTTTTTGTTGACTTTATATGAAAACATATTTATAAATTAGTTGTATTAGTATTTTTTGTTGTAAATGGTAAATGGACTGTACTTTATATAGCACTTTTCAATTTAATCAAGCCACTCAAAGCACTTTACAACAATCTGTTCTCATTTACCCTGATGCATGCTCAATAATCCAGGTAGAAAAATCTAAAAAAAGGTAAGTCTGGTCCTCTGGACATTCAAGAAACTAAACAAAACAAACAAAAAAAATGTAGAAACATTTCCTCTTCCATCCGAAAGACTTCTTCAGTTGGAGGAGCTGTACTCAGTGAGATAAGCTGATATTTTGGTTGTTCCACATACAATAATACAAATTAAACATACTACAGATGGTGGAACAAAGTATTAATGTCCAGTCTCACACATTACAACAGAGCAGAGGAGACATGTGCTGTCCAATTGACCGGCCGCAAAGTTCCATCCTCCCTGGTGAGGTGTTCTGGACACGTCCCACCGGGAGGAGACCCAGAGGAAGACCCAGGACACGCTGGAGGGACTATGTTTCTCGGCTGGCCTGGGAATGCCTCAGGATTCCCCCGGAGGAGCTGGCCCAAGTGGCTAGGGAGAGAGAAGTCTGGGCCTCCCTACTTAGGCTGCTACCCCCTGCGGCCCGACCCTGGTTAAGCAAAAGAAAATGGATGGATGGATGGATGGATGGATGGAAAAACTTACCGTGTCAAGGCAGATCACATAAATACTGTAGATCCACATAAACCCAAGTAGAGACCATACTTTTTCAGCCCTCCTGGCCACTCACCTTATCCAAGTTGTTGTAAAAGTCCACATTCCCGGCACACAGGTACCTTCCCAGTAGAGTGGCATGTGTTGTGAAGATCGTTGCCATGGGAATCTTGCGAGAGCGAGACAAAATGAGTCCAGGGCCTGCCTGCCACTCATGGAAGTGACCAATGACATTGAGTTTGTCTCCAAGGTGGTCTGTTAGCTGAAAAACAAAGATCAAAATTGGGATTGGACTCTGAAAGTGCAACTTTAAGTTAAAGTGAACTCTCACAAAGTCCCAATTCAGAGTTTGTAGACTTAGTCGTTCACAGATGTTTCCTTAGAACTTAAGCTAAAATTAATCATGGAAGCCGACATAATTAAGCGTAAAAATCAAATATCATGAACACATTTTTCTTTTTTGTGAAAGTGTGGCATACAGGGGGTGGTGGTTGTTTAAATAGTTTTGAATATAAAACTCAACAACGCCAGTTGGGGGATGTCATTACCCAACTATTTAAAACACCACAGGTTTGTAAGCATACACACTGACACAAACAGATTTCTATTAAAATATTATTTTATAATTTATTAAAACAGGTCATTAAAAACACAGCTTTCAGGCCTACTACTCAGTCCCTAAGGACAAAGGGAGCATGAGGTAAGTTGATATTTTGGTTGTTCTGCATACAATAATAAATTAAATGTACTACAGACAGTGGAACAAACTGTTAATGTCCAGTCTCACACATTACAACAGGACAGAGGAGACATGCGCTGTCCAATTGACTGGCTGCAGCAATAGCAGCAACTAATGCAGTGGAGGAGCGGCCCACACTCTGAAAAGTTGTCTCAACCCAGGACAAGACAAGACAGAACAAGACAGCAGAGCATCCTTGTGCACTGGGGCATTTAAGCACAGCAGTGCGCAGCTCAATCACGTGCCGAGGAGCAGGAGCGCAGCCTACCATGGGACTGAGCGGCTCAGCAGCAGGTCAGAAGACAGAAGCTGTGCACTGCAAAGGGCTGCAGCTGCAACCAATAACACCAGTGGAGCAGCAATGGATCTCAGATGATCAGAATCCAAGAATACCAGTCACACAAACAGCTCCAGAGTGGGGAGGGTGGAACAACATCTCATCACATTCTACCCCAATGTTGTATCGTTGCCCCGACGATGAGCCTAAACAATTTAGCACATTTAGCACATTGAAACAAGAACCACCAAAGAAGATCCTAGACTACTGAACAGCCAGAATACTCCATCTTACCAGAGTGGCATAACGTTCCATGCACGTGCAATGTGCCATTAAGAACAGAGTGCAACGAAGGCAATGAACTTTAGTGTTGTTGCAACTTGCTCCAATCATTGGGAGCAACCAACAATAATGAGGAAGAGCCAAAGAAGACCCCAGTAAACCAGCTACAGACTGACTGTCCCCAGTAAACCAGCAACAGACCAACTGGACCCCAATAAACCAGCAACAGACCAACTGTAACCCCAGGAACACTTCAGCACACTGTGAAACAAAATAAACCACCAAAGAAGATCCTAGACTGCTGAATAGCCAGAATCCTCCATCTTACCAGTAGTATAATGCTCCAACTTTTCTGAGATGAGTTGATATTTACAAGTTCCCTCAACTCATTGACATCTGGAAAACGGCAGGTGGAGTGAACCAAGAACTTCTGTGCACCCCACACATGTTCAACAAACTAATCACTCAGCAGAACATCAGCATTAAGCAACCCATCAGACGCATTCTGCTTAACCTGCTCCATAAGGGCCATTAAAGTTAAAGAAAAACTGCAGCAGTGTTTCCTCCTCTTGCTGCTTCCTAGAAAAGAAAGCATCCTACAGAGTAATATAGTATGACTGGGTCTCTTCAGTCCACTCAATGATACCAGTGCCAGTCCTACCATTAAATATGGGACAGGATCGGTCCCAAGAAACAACCACCATCCGCTCAGTAAGAGCAATGCCAGCAGGCATGACACCACCAGCCACAGCCAGGAGAGCAGCACCTTCCAGCAACCCCTCATTCTACACCCTCTGCTGAGCCACTCCATCTGCCACTGGCTGTACCCTTCTTCATACCTGCAGGGGAAAACTGCCACAAAAATTAGTGAAAATAAATGCTGAACCCACATTTTGGCTCATGTGTACATTCCTCCAGGTACTAATGCAGAGCAGACAACTGACACCAGATCTTATGAAGCAGACATATATATTTTTGAGCATGTCAACTATTTAATTTAATTCAAAAAGAACAAGAGGGCAGTGAAGCTTTTGACTCAAATATTCAATGGCATTTTTGAGGGTGAGAAAATGCTTATGGAATGGAGAATAAGTGTGCTGGTGCCCATCTTTAAGGACAAGAGTGATGTACAGACTTGTAGCAACTACAGGGGGTTTAAGTTGAGTCACACAATGAAGATCTGGGAGAGAATTATGGAAGTTAGACTTATACAAGAGGTCCCTATTTGTGAGAAGCAGTATGGGATTATGCTGACAGAGCACCACAGACACAATCTTTGCTTTGAGGATTTAGAAACAGCATATGGTGGGATGCCAAGGGAGGAGCTGTTGTAAGAGGAAATCTGGAGTGGCAGAAAAAAGTATGTTAGACTGGGACAGGACATGTATGAGGACAACAGGACATGTTAGACTGGTACAGGACACATGTGAGGACAGCAGGACATTTTAGACTGATACAGGACATGTGTGAGGACAGCAGGAATGTGGTGAGATGTGCTGTAAAGGTGACAGATATCTTCAAGGTGGAGGTGGGATTGCATCAAGGATAGACTTTGAGCCCCTTCTTGTTTGCTCTGGTGATGGACCGACTAACAGATGAGGTCAGGCAAGAATCCCCATGGACTATGATGTTTGCAGATGACATTGTGATTTTTGGTGAGAACAGGGAACAGGTGGAAGAGAACTTGGAGAGGTGGATGTATGCAATTGAAAGAAGAGAAACGAAAGTCAGCCATAGTAAGACAAGAGGACAGAGTAAAGTACAGAGATCAAGGTTCCTCACAGCATGGCAGCAGTGATGAGAGCTCTACTTCAACTTGTACTTTTTTGTTCATTGTTGTTTTGGTTTTGACTTGTTGTACCTGGACTGCACTCGCACACTATGGGCATGACAGCAAAACACTTTTGGTGTTGCGATCGTCAGTGAGTGGGGACGTTGAGCCTTTTTTTGGTGACTCCGCGGCAGATATTTCCTCTAGGTCCTTTGTTTACCTGCGCGTAGTACGAGGAAAACACGGAGAGGGAAGCAAGCTGGTGTTTTGTGCAGGACTCACCATTCATCCATCCAGTATCTTTTACCCGCTTCTTCCATTTTGGGTCACGGGGGTCGCCGGTGTACATGTCCAGCAATCACTGTGCGAGGGGTGGGGTACACCCTGGACAGATTGCAAATGCATCACAGGGCCACATAGAGACAAGAAAAACAACCATTCACTCTCTCTCTCACCTAGGGACAATTTAGAGTTACCAATCAGCCTAACATCAGGGCCCACTAGAGACGCAGCAAACCCCCTCTCCTCAGTCCTGCATTTGGGTGTTCAGCCTCTGAGGAGTGAACTGTATGACCTGTGCGCACAGGTTTATTGCAAGTGGGACACAAGAAGCTGTTGTGTCTTTGCCTTTATGGAAACATGGCTGGAGGCGTCCATTCCCGACTGTATTGTGGCTTCAGACGACTTCTCTGTACACTGACTCGACAGAACTGAGTCACATCTGTGACAGGTAATATGTTTATTGCTGCTGCATTATGTGGCTGTATCATGTGTGTTGCCGCCTTGCCATAATGGTTCAGTTCATCGCTATGTTGCTCACTGCCTGTGCAGTGGCCTGTCACGCAGCCTGTGTGGTGTATGTTGTGTACAATATGTATCATGCATTTAAGCAGTGTTACTGCCTGTGAGGTACTTGTTTGTACTGACTCATCTTACTTGCACCGTTTTACTCAACCATGTTGTTTACTTTGATTCTTTTAGAACTTGTAGATGTTGTATTTCTTTTTCACTTTTGGTGCTTTGTTTTTTACTTTTGTTGAATGCTTAAAAAAAATATTTTTTTTTTTTGGGGG